GTGCAAAATTGTATCTGATTTTATTTTGTGTTTTCTCACACTGATACATTTTATTTCATTTCCTTTCTTTTTGTTTCCTTTTCTTTCTTGGTTTAAAAACAAACAAACCAACACACTTCTGAAAATCAAAGGGGAAAATTGGCTGAAACTGTCTGAGCCCCCAGGGTCTGGAACAGTCTGCCATCGGAGGTGGTTCAAGCACCTACATTGAACACCTTCAAGAGCAAATTGGATGCTTATCTTGCTGGGATCCTATGACCCCAGCTGACTTCCTGCTCTTTGGATGGGGGGCTGGACTCGATGATCTTCCGAGGTCCCTTCCAGTCCTAATGTCTATGAAATCTATGAAATCAGGGGAATACATCAAGGGCTCGGTGAATAACTGTTCACCAACGCATCCTTGGGGAAAACCAGAAGTAATGGCCACAAACTCCTGGAAGACCATTTCAGGCTTAACACCAGGAAGCACTTCTTTGTAATTAGGGTGTCCAGACTGTGGAATAAACTCCCTCCAGAGGTGATGCAATCACCTACCCTGGAAATCTTCAAGAGGAGACTGAGCCATCACCTGACCCCAGCTGTCTTTCCTGCCTAGTGCAGAGGGGCTGGACCTGATGATCTTGCGAGGACCTTTCCAACCCCTTACAATCTATGAAACTATGAATCTATGTGGCACTCTGTATAGCTATAGCTGTGAAATTAGCTGACCTAATAGTTCTTTCTCACTCAGAATTTAGCTTTGATGATGATAAAAACTGGATTCAACTGCTTAGCTTATCCAGTACATTTCAAGAAAGGACATCTCAAAAAAGCATAGTCAGAGAGTTCTGAAGGGGCTGGATTTAGGCGGGGTAATGTTAATTTCAAACCTGAAGATGCAGTGTTGCAATTTGCTTATTGGATAAACCCAAGCTTGGGCAGTAACTTATTATAATGATTTCTAACACCTTTAACCCCATAGGATAACAGCTATAAAACAATATTATGAATGGCTATATAACTAAAAAATTAGCATAAATAGAATATAAAAGAACACACACGTCATAGTAACCCTCGGGAAGGACGGAACAGAAGGGTCATTGCTGTCCCATACCCCCACAGATCTCTCTTACTCCCTGTGAGAGCGAGGACCAGATCCAGACTGAGGGGCCTCCACCAGTTCTCCTTCGGGCAGCCCAGTTAAAAGACGTCTGACTTCGCTGATTCAGCTTGACGTGCATCTTCTAACCGAGGGACTATCAATAAGTTACTAACCAAGTGGGAACTCATGGTTAATTTCTTTATCTGTTTTATTATCACTATCAATTTTAATCTGTATTGTTATGTTGTCTGTTTATTAGCTTAAGCTTTTTATTAACTATTATATGTGCAAACTATATCTTTTGTTGTCATAAGTAAAATTTATTCTTTTTTATAAGTAAAACTTGTCATTGCTTTCCTTCCCAACATCACCTCCTCAATCCCGAACCAAAAAGCCCAGTGGCTAATGAAGTTGTAGTGCTTAGTCAGTCTGCAACTAAATTGATATACTCACAGTGCCCAGCTGGCCTGTGACACCCATGGTGCCACAATTACACTGCCTCTGTAAAGCAAGGTAGCTTGTTAAGCGCTAGCTTGGATACCTCAACATGGAACTGCAGTCTGCAGCTAAAATGTCCCCTTAGTCATACTTTAACCAAATGATCTACTTTGCTGTTTTCATCCTTCTCCATCAGTCACATTCTCAGGCTCCCAACTATGCTGGCTGCTTGTTTCTGATTTATCTTCTGTTTTTGTCTATTATTGTTGTTGCTGCTATTAGAGGTGTCACTGACCAGCACTATGCCCTGGGTGGTGGCGGCGCACAGAGTAGGAGCAGCAGCTAGAGGTTTGCTGCCAGAGTGGGGATGTCACCTGCTACTTTGCTGCTGACACGTGTTGAGGAGCCTTTCACCCACTGATTTTTGGCAGCCAGAAAAAAAATTACACCTTGCCCTCTCAGCAATGGACCACCATCCACTGCTCCTACACAATGTGCTACTGCTGGTGCTCTGCCCT